AAGTCTCGATGCTATCTTGGTAAGCGTCACGCAACCCGTTTTGCCGTCAAGTTTAATGTCACTCTCTAGGTGGCCAACTTCGAAATTTGATTGGTCGTGATCCCTTAGAATGTAGGAATTCGTCTTATTTAGTAGAATACTCGCCTAAAAATCAGGTAGTTGCATATATCGAAAGAATCTACAATGTGTCAACGTGGACACTTTAAACAGCCCAATTTACATATCAGATCTGTTTTCAGATGTCGAAATTTCTCGTCGACAAAGCTTTCGATGCGAAACATTGGTTTCTTTTTACCTGCAATTACCGCTGACTAAATATCCCCAACTTATAAAATGCGAAAATGTCGGCTTTGACATATTTAAGTTGACATCGTTATCGAAAATGTTTTTTTTTCATTCGTTTATATCTCAAAAATTAGAGTTAGCAGCGTGTTGATATTGGAGCAGTAGGGTGTGAAATTCAACTCGACTGTATTTTCAGCGCTTGTCGCACAAGGGAACCTCTATTGTATTTCAGAGGCCCGTTGTTTTACTGGACTAATTCGTCCATCGTGGCGCCAATTTGAATGGGCGTGCTTAGGGGGTGTGGTGTCAGTGATCCAGAACCTCTGGAAGATCCTCCATCAAACTCAATTCAGAAACATGTAACATTTGAATGGATTTAAGGCAGTTGAACGGCGCCACCATGTCTACACTGGCATTCCATCAATCGTCTTTTAGGCACAAACGTTTCAACACGGAAAGAGACCGTTGCGTTTTGTTGTCTAGCGAAATCCCGCGAAGCGTTTTTGGGAAAAAATTCGATCAGTGGATGAGTTTTGGTTGAACCGCTCCGGTGATTAGCAAGAAGAATATGTACAGCTTAATTCAAGTCCTCTAAACCAGCAAACTGATGCATAATCATTCCATATTCTGCGCTTTCATGCTTAAATAAAAATTTTTACTCAAAACAGCCGGCCAGACATTGGCCTGTGATGGCAATAGGACCACACAAGTCTACACTTGTACCAGACTAAACCTTTAGTAAATAGGCAAACTTAAACGGTAATCTTGTCTGATGTAGGACAACTTTGGTGGGTTAACTTGAAAAAAAGGTGTCAAAATAAGAACCCTTTTTTAAAAGGTCCGCTTAAAAACCATTGTGGAAGTGCCTTATCTCCCCATCTGCTATAAAGCAGTTCACAAAAATTGTTTTGCTGGCGAAAACGCCTCAATGGGGTTCTGTTTTGTTAAAATAATCTTTCCCGAGGCTCACCAAACCACGACTTCGTAAATAGCCATGCGATTTTACTCATCCATACTTAAATCATGCCAGTTCAAGCGTTCCCTCCGACACATTAATCAAACTCGAGTCTAGACACAATCGCAAGCTCTTTGAATTTTTTTTATTACAAAACTGCAAATTCTAGATACAAATCTCTTGACACCTCGTGTTTTTTTCACGGTCACGAATGACGCATTTGTGCTTTAAACGACTTAAGCGTGTTTAAATTGCGCCGTGAAGTTTAATTATTGCATGCACATTTCAATCTAAAAGCTGCCGACCACGCGAAAGTGGGATTATTTCTGGAAATTACGGCAAAAATATAATCTGCTACCAGTAATAAATCATTCCAGAATGTCCACTAATTAAATCGAAATACGGATGCTGTGCCAAAAAGGACTTCAATCGTTGGTGGTGACAAAAGTAACACACCAATTTTGAGCTCTGTGGAGATGAGAGTTACGAGAGCGTCCACCTTCCAAAATGAAACTGCCTTAATAAAATTACTGAATTTAAAATGCCCGGCATTTGAGAGATCCGAACAACATAGGACCAAACTACATCCGCCCCCTCTAAATTGTTTACCACAATATTGGCTTTTTTTTAGGGTTACTAGCAGAAGGAATATGTTAAGAATACTGACGTGTGATTGGTTGGATACTTCTTCGTTGCACACCTCATGCATGATTTTATTTCTACATCAAATTTTATCTTTTTTTTTCACAAAACAGAACTGCCTTGAAAAGATGCCAAAAGCTTTGCAGTTGTTTCCCTGGCTAAAATTGAAACAGGTCAGCAAGCTGGATGGTGACCAGCCAATCAGGAGGCAGTCGATAGTTCATTGGTTGGAATGCACACACTCGATCAACTCAACACTCTGGGTCAGACAATTTGTACTCGATGATCAGGTTGAGCGACGCATCGTTTCGTAGCTCATCGGTGCATATTTTATGCAAGAATGAGAATTCAGCCTCAAGGTTTCACTGCTAACCGCCCATAAATAATGAGGCAACTTTTCATTGCCTTTTAAATTGCCTTTTTGGCATGTCTACGTGCATTAAAAACCAACACAGCGGAGATTTTCTTCCCACAAAATGCAAAAACCAAGATGGAAGTGAGTTTGCATGCTTAAAACGAGGTTTTTTGTGGCTTTTAAGGGACACAACGAAACTTACACATTTCGCAGTCCTCTTGGGTTTCCCTCGGCTGAGCAGTAAAATCGGACGGTTTCGTTTTCTCGAAAGGGTTCTTCCATTCGATCCTCGGTCGAGACGTTGTGGGTTATATTCATATTCTGTATGTCTAACCAAAAATAGTGAAACGTGCGAGGTTAAACCGGCGTATCATTCGAAAAATCGATAGCGTTTCGTTAGACATGACTAAACTTTTTGCTCAGTGGATGATGCATCACTTTATCTATAACGAAAACATGACAGACCAATGGGATGCGTTACACTCGACGGTGAACAACGGTTACGAAGATCTCCATAATTTCTGAACTGATAGCGTGGGTCGATTGAATCGCCAGGCTAAGCTTGGGAGATAGCTTTTAGATAATTTTATTTGTTAAAATTGTCAGATGTCCTCCACGATGTGCTCTCGTAACCTAGTTAAATCGGCAGAGGCAAGAATAAGGGAGAAGCGGATAACGTCAATTTTAATACTAAAATCTGAAAAAATCTCACCGTGGGAAAGAAAGCACTGAAAAATGTACACAATTTTCAGTTTTTCTTTATTCTGGGAGAGAGAGAAAATGATCAACTCCTGCTAAGTATGAACAAAACAAACTGTGTGAGCCAATTTCTGTCGAAATCTGCCAACGAACCGCTCTCAGCGACGATAATGTTGGGTCATGTAATCGATTAACGGTTGACTCAACACTTGCCTGAGTTTGTTGACATCAACAAAGTGGCCTTATTACAATTCTGAGATGGACTGTTTAAAGATCATAGACTGGGCGAATATGATCGAGATAATCGATTGATAAAAATCGTTTTTGGATGAATCTAAAGTGGGATCAATGAGGAAGAAGGTTTACAGACAGTGAAAAGCCCCACCTCGATAAATGATAAAATCAATATATGATGCAATCTCTCTGGTTTTACTTTTTAAACACCATTTGATATTAGTGTGGAACCATGTTCTATGTGGGTTTTTGTATTCTGTGTGGTGTTTGATGTTTTTTTCCAAATATCCATGCAGTTCCCTGGACAACCAATCATTAACAGTGCCAAGTTTGAAGTGAGCGCTCAGTCTTAAGTCAAGTAATCGGTCTGCCACTGTATTGATTGATTGGCTGATTAATCGATAAACCTGCGCTCACATCTTTGCTAAATCTCGGAAAATCAGACGTATATTTTGATTCCCCTTGAATCCAAAATAATGACAAAGACATTGTCGTCTAAGCAGTAAACCGGCAATTCTGGCACGCATACTGAACATCAAAGCAAATCCACCGTCATGAGACGTTATTGCTGTGGAATTCCACGACAACGCAAAAACAGTAATTGCTGTGATCAAAAATGTTAAAGGACATCTTAAAAGTGCACTTTTAGGTTTGTTCCTGTCGCTAAAATGCAGACTGAAGGTTGCATTTGGTTTGCAGAGAAAGCAAACGGTTCCAAGAGTACAAGAGTTAACCTACACACAACTTGAAGGTTGGCGGTGACCTTCGGCATGACCGACTGTTCGAAGGCGGCCGCATTCTGGACGAGGCATTCAAGACGTCGACCGGAGAGGGAACGATCCATCGTAATTGTGATTGTGCTCAATCCGATGAATCTGCAAATAACTCAGTCGTGTTGGGTGTATTTCCGATACGCCAAAACATTCAAACAAACGCCTATTTCTCAATCCGGCGGTTCTCATTTGGTGGAGGTTAGCCCTGATGACGTTCGGTCACCTCAAATTGCTCTCCTACGTTTGTACCTACCTCGTCTGCGACGTACCACGTGCTCTCAAACACCAAACACGTCGGCAAACGCATTGTCATTGCTAGCTAGGTCCCTTTGGTGTGAACTTCATGTCTTTGCATTTAAAGCATGCATCTCGCGGTTTTGCATAATTAAAGCAGTTTTGTGTGGTGCAAAAACGCTATCGTCGCAGTTTCCATTATGCAAATTGTGCTGTGGCCTGGGTGGTGGGAAAATTGGACACAAAAACACCTCGTTTTTGCCAAGTTAATTAAAAAAAAAAAACTTTAAACGTGCTCACCGACTCCGCTTGCGGTCACAAATTTTGGGTGAAAACCATCCTGCAGTTGAAATTGGATGGCTCATTTTAAGAAAACCCGGTAAATAGTTTGCCAAAGTGATCCGAAAATCGCCTGGTACTTACAATCCGTCCACAGGAGCAGGCAGTTCCTTGTTCACAATCGTGAATCCCAATTTCTCCTGTTCACGCGCGTCGAACACGAATCGCCACTTGGGGTATCGTTGACTTGACGACGCCCTCGTTCGACAGGCGAATTGATGGAAATCAAAACAGGGTTGAGGCAGTAACTCCTCTGCATCTTCGGCAGCCGACAGGACCCACATTAGACGAGAGACGGGGTAGCTGGGTGACGCAGAGCACTCCATCGACACCTGGTCGTTCTCCAGGGCCCAGATGTTGCCATTCCTGACCAATGGCCGATCAGGTGAGCTTGAGTGGTGCTGGTGAATTGGCAATGTCTGTTGAGAAGTGGAATGTGGAAAGGCGGGGTGCTGGAATGCCTGACTTTCACCGTGCTCCGGATTGTCAGATTGCAGGTGATCGGGCGAAGGTTTGTTGGTCAGTTTATTGGTCGGCTTTGACGCCTCGGGCATCGTCACGTGTCTCAGAAGAAGCCCTTCTGGAGGACCTGGAAGAGATGCCAGTTGACCTTGAACTGTATCCACACCTCAAGCTCTTGTGGTTAACCCACTGTGCAATCCAATCCTCCGTGATTACCCATCGAATACGTCAACTGACCAAGAACCAAAGAACGCCGCGAATTTAGTCATTTCTTTTGATTAGAATCTCTGGTCACTTAGTTACAAAGGTCTTGAATAAACCACAGAATAATATTGCACCCCAAACACAGTGGCACTCTAAATCTGACGAGTTGGTTCGCGAAATAGTCAGTCACTGATGGAGATTATGGGTAGTCAATCATCATAGGTTACGGCTGAATGTGATTCTATTCCACTAATGATCGATACCTTGTCAAAGCGATGGTAATAAGATGTTTCAGATGCACACATTGTTCATGGATCAACTCAGGTTCCATCGATCAGAACTAGCAGGCCAGCATTGAAATCATTCGACGACCAATTCCGGGTCCTGGTTTGCAACAGGCCTCAGTGACTTACTGTAGATTTTCAGAAGGATTGTCGAAGTGGTCAGCGTCTTCACGTGCAGGGGCTCCGACAATGCGAAAGTTTGGATGGTGACTTGGCAGTTGAAAGTGGTCTGGTCCGAGAGTCGCACGTCATAAATGTGAAGGTCGAATCTGCCTACAAGCAAACCGGGAAATTATTCTGTGTGGCAAACGGGATTTGATATTTGAAAAATGGCATTTGACAATTTCATGTACAAACCGAACACCGGTTCTGGGTGAGTTAAATAATGTCTTTATTATTTGTTACACTCTTAAAAAAAACAAATTTTGAGATACTGTTTAATGCATCTGTCAAGCTCACAGTAATAATCCATAGAACCTTAATTTAATTATTGTTTGTCAGAATGCTTTAACTATCCATGGCGTTGTGATAGCATCTGGCAATGTCAACTTCAGCGACATCCTAAAGTCTTCAACGAACAGTCTACTTGATAGGTCGTTTGGCCGAATCCGATAACATCAAGTCCAATTTAAGTAACTTCGCAATGTGGAGAATGGCTACGACTGAACGTCAATGACAGAATTCTAATTCAGGCTTCGTAGTCAAATCTTTGTCAGGATGTTGAGCTGATTGCGGATTTTACTGATACAACCTGGAGCAAGAATTCGTTGATCCGTGGTAGCAGCAAAGTGGCAGTTTAACTTATTACTTCAGGCTTCAGCCAATGGAATTTGACAAAAATCAATAAATTTGGCGCGATGTTTAAACGCGTGGTTTCATAAATAACCTCGCATTTACCAAGCCATTCTGTAAAGAGCATGCGTGTAAATAAAATACAAAAAAAATTCGCCATATAATTTTGCAGTCAATTATTTTGAAAAGTACATATAAGAGTGCGTTTTGAGTTAAATCATTTACCCACATGTACCTAACTTGTGGCGGTACCTTAAATTATCAAATGTACCAGATCTAATTTCATAGTCCGCGTCCTAAAAAGGGCACAAATTTATTTTAAAATGGTTCCTGGTAGGAAGCTTTTGGTGCCTCAAGAGTAAAAATATCTCGATTTTAAATGAAACTACTTGTTGTCTTTTGCTTTTGACTCCATGCTGATGTTGTACGTAAATGCATTTACTGAACATTTTCACGGGTTTTCTGAAATAGAGTGTTGCGCTGGCAACGGACACTGTTCTCAGTATTCCAGTTGATCACGACCAATCAAATTTCAAAGTTGGCCACCTAGAGAGTGACATTAAACTTGACGGCAAAACGGGTTGCGTGACGCTTACCAAGATAGCATCGAGACTTCCACTTGACCCACATTTCTTGACACAACACACGAATTCGAGGACAGATCAATGCGTCAGCCCAGAGAATGCCATTTCGACAAAAATCAAACTCTCACTGACCAATCACATTCAAGTCTCAAGGTCAAAATGCCATCAATCGGGAATTGTGTGCATCGAAATTGGAAGGCATTTTTAGCAGTGTACACTGGCGGAAGGGATGAAAGGCGATCGCGTTCAGACGAACACGACCGGTTGGAAGTGCAGAGGGGAGTCGAGGTTTGAGGGAGGAAGCAGAGGTGCAGGAAGGGATAACCAGACGGGCAAAGATGGCGAGGAAGCGGAGGCAGAGACTGCAACACGTGCGCAGAATCTGATAAGGAGCGAGTGTTGAGTCGCATGTGATGTGGTTCACACGTGCGGTGGCCTATCGCATCTGCAGACGGTGAACCGTGTGTAAAGAGGTGGTGGAGATGTGAGAAAAGATGCCGGCTTGTGAGTAAAAACACACCCACTCTGTGTGATAAGGGACACATTTTTCTTCTGCATCTTTGACACCGAAAAACAGGCTGGGAATCTTTTGTGTTTGTGATATTGCGCAAGTTGATAAAGATTGGACGTGATTGGACATGTTGGAAGGCGGCATTTACCGGAATAATGGGAATTGGCACGAACAAGTTAACTTGGAACAAACTATCATGCTAACCAACAATAATAGCCTTTTTTCCAATCTCGACTCAGTCACCAGAGCACAAACGAACGGGAGGGAATATTTTGCAGACAAAATAGAGCATTGTGCGTTGCGAAAAAAAGATCTCTTAGATAACACCGTCAATATAATTACTGCCAAAGTTTGTCGTAGAGACCAAGGGATTCGCGAGGTTCCTTTGTCTTCTGTCAAAAGTTGTCGTGATTACTCGGTAACCATGACGACGTACACGTGGAGGCTTGATGTACAACTGACAATTTAGCCAGTGCTTAGTAAAACCACGCTGGTAAGTTTTGTGGTAGGTCCGTCGACTCAAATGTAACCTGCCCAAATCCAACCCACTGCCTGTCTTCACTTTAATCTTTTTTGACAGAAAACACTGCTTGACAAGAGCGTTTTTGACAAAAATTGCTTGGCTAGGTTTTCTGCGTTTGGTGGAGCAGGTAGCATTCCAGTCAAATTTGCAACATCAGCGAACTTGCTTGTTTCAATTCACTTGTACAATGTGAATGAGAATTACCTTCACTCAGCTGTCCGGGCATGAAGTAGCGTCCGCCAAAGCTGTCCATCAGGGTGTCGTTGGTGAATCCGAAGCCGTCAATATTCCACTGGACGCTGACTCGTTGATTGGCTGAGGCCTTCCAAGGCATGAATCGCAGTTGGGTCCGTCCTCTTCCGCTGTTGGCGTCAACTTCGGGACTGCCTGCGGTGGTGTTGGCAACCAGGAGGTGGCATTTAAGGCGAGCTGTGCGGTTGAGTTGGACGGAGATATTCCGTGGACCCTGCAGCTTCAGGACTTCGGTCGCCGTGGCGGATTCAAATGTCGACAGTAGAAGTAGAACCATTGTCTGGAGAAGCATTATACCATCGGGGATGGGAAGCCATGCAGCCGGCAGCTCACCACCGCATCTTTAAAATATTTCAAAAATCGTGCATTTGGAAAACCGCGAGCCGTGATTTTTAGTAAATTTAGCCAAGAACACCGAACGTAGGACTCAGGGAGTATTTGTGACCACAGCAACAATTTTGATTGGCTAAGAAATTGAGCGCACAATTCAAATTGTGTGGAAATGGAGTTTCACAAAAAAAGGAGTTCCGATGACCGATGATGAAGCCAAAACGCACAATTTATTTACTTTTCCTTGCAGACAACCTTGGCATACACTTTGATTGGTGGGAAAATTGTCCAATATGTTCTCTAGCCTGATCTGGTGTAGCCTTGATCATTGGATCCAGTTCAAGCCAATGGGAACGGGCATGTCTAAAAATTCTTGGCGGAGTGAAATCGACGAAGGTTTTTTATTCAATTAAGACTGTGTGAACAATCTGGTAGTTATTCGGCTGCCGCATTTCTTAACAATTCCTTGCTTCATCGGGTCTGCACCCCGTAGTAATTTAGACATCAACATCCGTCTTATTCTCTTGACCTTCACAAATCGCGCACATTTTAAACTAGGCAAGACAGAAGATGGGGAAGCAAAGTGCATTCTTCGCTTATAACGCAGTTCCTTTTTCCCGTATCATCACCACCTAGAAACGCCTTTTTCTCTAATAAAAATGCTTTTTTTTTAAAATTACAGCTCCTACTTTAATTTATTCCTGATTTTAAATTAATCTCATCAAAATTGCCACCAACCAATGACAAAGCATCAAATATTTTATGCATGAGCTTAGCGCGCTGTCCAAATTGTCAGTTTGTTTTGGCAAAAAATGCGCATTTTTTTGATCTAACGTTTTCCGTGTTCCCAAAGTGTGCGCACAATTGGCTAAAGTTTTTGTAAATGAGCATACAGAGTACACGGTGACAGCCCAACTTGCCTTTACTTAAATTACACATAAGTAGTACTTGCTGTCTCAAGAGGAAGCTTTTTGCTTGTTGCTGAAATGGGCAAATGTGTATTTGAGTAGATTGTTGAATCTACCGAATCGTTGGTCGTCGATGGCTTTGTGAAGCTAATTTATTCAAATAGAATTTGGCAAATGATCATCATAGGATCATTTTAAATATCAAATCCCCGGGCAGAATGCTAACAGCGCGCGTATTTTGAAAAATTTTGAGTTTTTTAAAAGTATTTTGTTGCTTTCAACAACTGCTGCTTCTACCTGACATAAAAGTCACTCCAAGTTCAACAGAGCCCAAGGAAAAACCACTTTTTTAATCTGACATTCGTGTTTGTTTAAATCAGCAGCAGTTTTTTTTTATTACAAATTGACCGCCGATTTCGGTAGCTTCGACAGACGCACTCCACCTTGGCCAGACATCAAAAGAGGTAGTTAAATAGTGGAATATTTTAAACGGTCATTTTTGTCATGGTGGTTTCATAAAACGCAACCAAACACCATCTCTTTACTCAATCTAGATTTGCACAAACACACCTAGTCATTTTGCGAAAACATCGGAACTATTTGAGTTTTAGATAAATTTAAACAGAAACAATAATGCCGGTTATTTTCCTGAGAAATTACAAAACTCATGTCTGAGTCATCAGGGCCAACTTATCCTACCTAATGCTATTAGTTTCAACCAATCAAATTGCAGTGAATCGGATGACCTTAAAAACTAATCGAACAACGCTAACCTTCACATTTCAGATAAATGCAGATGGATGCAATTTTGGCAGTTGTTTTGCCGAGATATAAAAAAGGCATTTATGTTTCCAAAAAGTATCTTTCAGTAATGAAAATTGCACAAACATTCTACACCTTTTCAACAACAAAAGACATGCAATTAAAATCAGAAATTATTGATAAACGCTATTATCTTACGAAATATCTGCAATACAATCTGCTGATTTGAGCAGATTTTTACAAAATTGTAAGGAAATCGCGTAAATAAAGCTTTATTATTTCGCAAATATTGACCAATGCCAAGAACTTATAAAATATCTTTGGTTGCTGGTTGCTGATTGGCGCAGCTTTTACAAAATTGTAAGCCAACCGTGCAAATAAAGTTTAAACATTTGAAAAAAATTACATTTGATTTACGCACCGCGGCAAAGCATGTATTCCCAGTGTGTTTTACTGAAATTACAGTAAGGTCTGAACAGCACTCACGAAATCAGGTTGCAGCACATGTGGACGCATAGGTTTGAGTCAACCAATTAGCGCTCACGGAAATTGCGATTGGCTACTGGCGAAAAGCGGTGGCGCTCTTTTCAACAATTCATGCTACATTCAAAATGCACCGAGAACTTAAATTAGGTGTTCTGTATTAGGTAATTTTTTTCGCCCGTAAATGTGTAGCATTTAAGTTTTCCCAGCCATTATAGATAAACAGAATTGAAAAGCTTGTCCGGATCATAATTTTTTTCACAAAACCAATATATCGCCTTACCGTAATAGTGTGACGATTTCCGCCTGGTTTCGCAAGAGGCGGCCACGTGAGATTATCCCTCATTTAGAAAAAGATATTTTCTCTTATCCAATCATTTGATCCTCTGAGCTATGAGACTTGCCCAATGAAAACACGGCTAGAAGAAAATGAATGGACAAAATCCGGCTTTTTCCAGAGTAAACGTTCTCCAAGAGGCCTTAATCAAAGAGCTGTAAAGCTTAACGTTAAGTTCTCCGTTCTCCAATTGGCCTTGACTTGAACCAATGGGAAGCACGTTTGATATAAAGTGAACTGGAAGACACTTTGTCGTTTAGTTGGACTTCACAGACAAAGCCCAAATTTCCAGAATCAGATCAAACTCCCTGTAACCAGTGGTGAACTCATTTCTGCTGGCTCCCACGGTGATTGGCTAGAAAACCACATTCACGACCTCATCAACCGTTCATATGCAGTCAGGTATCATGAAATAAAAGATTCTGTACTATCCCTCCCCACTAATGGCGATTAATGACCTTGGTCTTGGTTGTTGTTTTACTGGTGTGGCAATTTATCTGGGCGGTCTTTTAAATTCAACCGTCCAGCTTGGTATTCGGCCGCAGACGCTGTCTAGAGTTCGATGCCTCAACGAATTCACATATCCGACATTGTTGGCCAATTATTTCAATAATTATTAAAATTAGATATTATCGATTCCAAATATAGGCCATAGTTTTTAATCATGAGGCCTGATTACCCAAGATTCTGTTTGGACTTTAAATGAACTTCATAAGGACAGAATCCGAGTGGAACATGTACTTCACGAACGTGAAATCAATATTTATTGACATTTTCCTGACTGCTTCATAGGGAGGTATTGATCAAGTGGGTTTTGCCGCTCTCAATCGAATTTCTATTGAGCACATTGTTTTATTCGATTTACTTTTGTTTTTTTTTGGAACTTCTCGGAGCAAAATTTATCCCAAGTAGTGTCCTCTTTTGTCTTCTCGCTGTTCTTCTACTTCGAATCATAGTTTGGCTGTTTTGACAATAAAAAACTACGCTTTTTCTGACAGCCATTTCTACCGTTTTTGTTTACTTCAGGAGAAGTTTGTTTTGGCGAAATATTTTCGGCATTTTTCTCTTGTAATAAATCCACAGATTGCATAATTCGGCATGTTTTGCATAAGTATAACAGGACAGTCGAGGCTTTAGAAGTTGTACATGCTTCGGCACCACATCAGTTACATTTGCTCGTAACCATGACAGCACCCACTCAGGTAACCAGTACCCGGAACCCCTTTCTGACGCAAGAACTGACTTTCCTACGCTACGACAAGACGTGACAAGACATCGTGCAGGGAGCTTCTGTTGATTCAGCTACAGGCCGCGTGACAGGGCGACTTTGACCTCATAGGTGAAATCGGATCAATACAGATGGAGTTGACTCACCTGCTGACGTGGCGTGGTTAGGTGGCTGGGGAATCCTGGATCTCTAGCAGCCACCAGACCAGGTACTGGGAATTTCCTCCATGAAAAAACATCAGCGGACGAGTTTATTTTTATCTCAAAATGGAGAATAACTGCCAGGCGAAGCAGGCTAACCTGACATTTGTTTACATGATATTTAATTGCCATGGCGATAACAAAACCACCTCACATAGGTTAGTTCGATTTTCCAAACGATCATGCAGCATTTGGCAACAAGGTCAATTCGATAGTTGTTCACTTTTCTGTTAAATTTGCCTGTCCACGCAAACAAATCCAGTGCGTTTTGCGATTAATTTGAGGGAACGCCACGAAACAAAATGTCTGACTATCCCAGCCGTAGTTTGAATAATTTAAGGGGTTTCGTGAAAAGAAAATAATGCTAACCAGTGATGTTGGCCGTTTTGCTGAGAGAAAAGCGTTTTTTCTCGTTACTTAGATTGCAGATACTGGATCGTTGTTTTAATCATTCTATTGGTGAGTGTGGAAATTCGATTGGCTGAGGACTCGTAACCATTCCTGCACGAATTTGCGTTCTAACCTTCGTTTTGTTTAAATAAGCAGCGGGCACATTGGTGGCGCGACATTCATACTTTAGGTACAAAAAGTACTCCGCAATTTCTTAGAAGGTTTTTCCGCTTCTCTGTGCTGTTTAAGTACACTTTTATTGTCGGATATAAATGCTCGATTCCTGGACTAAATTACATTCTGCATAATTCATACGCGCTTGACTCAGTACGCACACTGGATTAAAAGAATAAGTTTAAAAAAACAGCGCTTGTTTGTGCGGTAGTTTCGCGGATTATCTGGATTTTATCGGGACAGATTAGAGTGGAACATTCCAAATCATTACCAAGACTATTTCGAAGCTGTATCCATGTGCACTCTGTTACCATGTCAATTTCATTCTTACAGATCAATCCTATTCCACCACGGTAAGTGTTTTTCGAGGAATGTTTAAATGTGTGTGAAACCGAGGCGTTTTAACGAGTGACGAATTAAAACAAATACCATCTAGTCGTTTTTTGCATGTTTAAATTTAATGCG